CTTTATTTTCTTTTTGGTCTTTGATTAATTAATGTGTGTTAGATTATTTTGAGTGCTTGATATTTTTGAGATCCTACATTAACTGCCCAATAAATATGTTTAATACAATTTGAATCTTTGACTTTTTGTTCAATGCAAAACACATGATTAACATGTATATCAATACAACATTGAACGTGTAATCTCAACCTTAATATAGCATGAGACTCCCCCAATAAATTCCAGCATCTGTGTCCCCTGGTAACTTTGCTGTAAGTTTTTGGTCGTCTTCTTACTTGTTCTCTTTATTTTCTTTTTGGTCTTTGATTAATTAATGTCTGTTAGATTATTTTGAGTGCTTGGTATTTTTGAGATCCTACATGCAATGATGTTTTTATTTATAGTATTACATGTTCACTTGTTTTTGTTCAATCGTGGGGCTTTTGTACAAATTTTGGGTTCACATTTACTTACCGAGAAAGAGAGATAAAAAAAGAATGGAGAAAAAGTTTTGATTAACAAATACTTTCTTCAATTTTTGTCATTTTATTTTTGTATTTCCCATTGGTAATGTTTCTTTCTGCGTACGTTAAGGTTGATGATGTCCAACCAAGGATTGAAATCTCTGTTCCCCATGGAGGATATTTCAGTAATGGGGATCTGGGAGTAGTTGCCGCATCTGAATAAGTTGAGAGTGAGTAGTCAGGAATGAAATGTGCCATGCTCTTCCACCTATCAAGATCATTGTGATTATCCTCCCTATTCGTTACATTTTAGCCAAAATTTTATCTTTTACTTAAAGATATGGAGTATTGACGAATTAATGTGTCTGATCTGGACCTTGTTCTTGCATTGGCACTTTCAATGACAGGTTAATTTGAAACAGACAATGGAGGCTGCACTTCTCTTTAAGCCTCATGTTGTTGTGACAGTGGATTCCAAGGGTTTTTCATTCCGATTCCTAAAGCAGTTAAGGGGTAGGGGTAATACATCACTTACTTCTTCTGAGATTCTATGCTTGCTCTGCACTTGTCCTAAAAATAGTATGGCTTAAGAAAATGGGGGATTGCTTTTTGCAGCTAGATATGATCAGCAAGCATTGGTTAGTCTTCCTCCACACTTCCATTGTGTTGCACCATCATTCTGGGCCTGGAAAGGGGGTGAAAAAATACTCAAAGCACTATCTGAGTTCATAGACCACGTGTTCTATATCCTTCCATTTGAGGAGGAAGTTTGCAAAGTGCATGGACTGGCTGCAACCTTTGTGGGTCACCCAATGCTGGAAGACGTTTGGGAGTTACAGTCGGTACAGACATAGGTTCTAAACTTGTTTTTTTTTTCCCAACCTCACTATGTCATCCTAATAGATTTCTAGTTTATAGTGGTGTTGGTGCTTTCAAATTGATGTGCATCTAATTGTTGAAATCTCACCTCCTTGAGGGATTTCGCGCTCAGGAAATGGACGCTACAGAAAATGGATGGATAGTTAAAGGAAATGGTGGGGAATTTCGAAGTAAACATGGGAAATCTTCAGGTAATGCGACTAAATATAGTTCAATACTTCAATATATGAAGACAGGCAACTTTATTTCTCCCTCCTGCTTCACCATGTACTTGGAATCTGACATTTTTTGACAGGATGTTGTATTTTACTCCGAATAACAATTTTCACACTTTTTTCTTGAAGAATCCACAATCATTACATTGCTTCCTGGAAGCAGATTACAGGAGGTGGAGCGAATGATTCCCACTTTCTCAGACACTATGGAACTATTGAAAGACTCATTTTCCGAGTTTACAACGGTAGTTCATGTGGCACCTAATCGGCACGTGGAAGAATATGTCAGCAAAGCTGTTTGTGAGTGGCCTGTATCTGTAGTATTGATTCCTGGAGGATCTCCACAGCTGAAGTATGATGCACATAGTGTAAGGCCGCATTCTCATTTTTTCATGGCTAATGTACCACTATTGGGGGCACTTTGTGACAAATTAGCCTGAACAGTCTAAGTGCGTTTACCCCGGTTTATGTTTGGAGCACATTTCCACAGAAAACAAAGTAATAAATAAGAAAGGAAATATGTTCTGATGATTTATAGTTAGCCGGTTGTTGTTAAGGCAACCCTCTATAACAAACTGGATGTTGGCCGCAATCTGATGAGATCATATATATATTAATCTTTTGAAGTTGAAATGATCAATTTTACTTCATTAGGTCAGTGAAAAAGAACCATTGCACTTGGATGTATTTAATATATACACTGATTTATGGTCTGAAGGACCATTTGTTTTGAATATTTTTATTTACAATGGAGGATATTGATACCTCTCTTGGGACCTTTTATTTTGATTAATCCTAGTTGTAAATTGTTTGCTCTGCAAAACTGAGGCAGATAACAGAGCATAGACCTGGATGCAAATAGAACATGTCTGACGAAAGCCTGATGGCATCTGCTACCCTTCACCACAAACATTCTCCATGGTCATGGAATTTTGTGTAATTCTTGCTGAGATTCATGACCTAACCAAATTTTGTTCCAAGGGTATGCAGGCTAGCAATGTAGCATTGTGTACATCTGGCACAGCAGCTATTGAGTTGCAGCTTGCACAGTTACCTACAATAAAAATAAATAGCTATGCGTTTGCAATTAACAATCAACTCAATTCTTTTTGAAGTAAAAAGAAACTGGCTTAAGGGAGGCTTTGTTATATGTGTCAATAAAAGGGATATCTGCAACGCCCCCCTCTCTTCTCCTTTCTTTCTTTTTCGAGGGTTTATGAACCTCTTTATTATTTGATCTCCATGGAAGCTGTAAATAGAAATTGTAAAAAGATTGGTGTTCAATAGTTTGCTTAAATGATGTTCCAAGTTTCAATTGGTCTGCTATATGTGATATTCAAAAGTGAGCTCTTGGCACTATATATCTAAAAGCTAATGACATTGCAGGGACCTAATACGCAACAAAAGCCTCCAAGAAGAACAGATAACTGCTGCTGAAAAGGTTATTGGATTACTATATCCGAAAAGAATTTGTCACCACTCAATACGGCAGCCTTTTACTTCAATTTACCCTGATTACACACCGAGCATGATTGCAGCATCCATTGTCTTATACTCTGTAAGGACATAATGATGACTGACCTATTATCATTATTTCGTCTCAAGACAACTTATTCGGGTTCCAGTTTTGTAACAAAGTGTATTGCAAAATTGCTGTGGGAGTTAAATTCTTCTTTCTCGTTATTTTTTTTTTCTCTCTATTCTCTCCCTGTTCATCATGTCCAAATATTTGTATAGAAAACTTCCCTTACTGAAGTTTGGTGCAGGACTTTCTTTCATTGATTAATCATAATTTTCACTGTTTAGATTGTTCAGATGAGCTTCTGTGAACTACTTTCAAGACGACAGACGAAACCATGAAGAAAATCTTTGGGTCTGATGGGTTTAGGTAAAAAGGCTGACCCAGTCCATGAGCTTTCCTCCACTGTCGGGTGCAGGGAGGGTGAGATCTATGCATCCTTACCCCATATCTGGTGGGTTCAAGTATGGTGTTGATATCTAATCTGCAAATTAGGTGGTCCTTGAGTTGATTGTATGCATCGAGCATGAGCGACATGAAGGCGAAGATGCTTAAGAAATTGTACGTGCTTTCAACCCCAGTGCATTGAGACCAGCCCAAGTCAAATGTACTCACCCCCAAAGCTCTCAACAATAAATGTGTTATAATTTTTCNTACAATAAAAATAAATAGCTATGCGTTTGCAATTAACAATCAACTCAATTCTTTTTGAAGTAAAAAGAAACTGGCTTAAGGGAGGCTTTGTTATATGTGTCAATAAAAGGGATATCTGCAACGCCCCCCTCTCTTCTCCTTTCTTTCTTTTTCGAGGGTTTATGAACCTCTTTATTATTTGATCTCCATGGAAGCTGTAAATAGAAATTGTAAAAAGATTGGTGTTCAATAGTTTGCTTAAATGATGTTCCAAGTTTCAATTGGTCTGCTATATGTGANTTAGAGTAAGTAACCATAGCAGTTTTTACCTGTGAGGGAAGCCCTCCAGAGAGGTCTGGAGCGATAGAACCTGTAAGCGCTCCCTAAAGACGACTTGAGCCATAGTCGGACTTCAGCCCCACCAATTCCCTAGAAGCAACTCAACGGTCTATTTCCCATGAAATGAATTTGGGAAATAACCCTTATAGGTTTCAAGCAACAACATTAATATAAAAATAAATGCACAAAGTTCATAGAAGTGCTTGATGTTACAAAATTTGATTATTTTCCATTTAAAGTTATTAAATACTTTTATTCAATTAAGATGGTTAATATGCTTCCATCAAATGGTAGAACATGCTTGTGTTATGCCCATAACCTTGAAGGCCTCACAGGTAAACTTATTGATCATCTATTCCAAGATAAATCTCAACCTTCCCTCTATGTCATCGCCTTTAGTCGACCTAGTATTTCAGGCATTTTCAATCTTTGAATCTTTTTCTTAGCTCGATTGACAACCAATACGCCATTAATTTTTCCTCGTGTTTCTTAGTCTTAATAATGTGTTCAGAAAGAGAAGTACGTACATTGAACTTTTCTACAAGAATAACAAGAAAAATTTTAGAATTAATTCTTTCTCTTACCATGCAAAACATATCTTAAAGCTCCCTTTAGCCTGATTCTTGTTTCTTGTTGAAGGAATATACTAGATATATATCAACAACAAACGCTTGTTTGTTTAACGATGCCTGTCTTACGAGGGTCGATTCTTCTATGCCTCAGCATTATAATGGTGTGCTCACCATTGATTGAAGTAGCAAATGTTGAGATTATCAACTATGGTGCTCTTCGAGAAGGCGCAGGACATGGTTTTCCCTACGACAACGAGCACCCTGAAGCTTGCTTGCCACGTCCATCAAATCGTAATAATAGAGGTTGCGAGGCTACCGAACGTTGTCAAGGCAACCCCAAGGATGAATATGAAGAGGAAGAAGGTCAGTTTGGGAGGATTCCAAATGAACCACCTCCAGAATATGTCCCATTGATATAAAATGGTGACTGAGGGTGAAATAAACTAGTTCAGGTTTAGTTCTCCTGTGAAAAATAAATTCCTTCATGTTTATAAGATGTTGTGATCAGCAACATTAAACATATATTTGAAATACATAGTATAATAAATAAATAAAAATTGCCAAATTTTTATTGTAATTAATGTGCCTGTTTGATAGTTGGTTTTTTTTGGTGAAAAGCTACAGCTTGAAAGGTTTTGCGAAAAAAAATCAGAATTAAAAAAGTTATACAAAACCATTTGGAGTGTTCTATAAAAAGTTGAAAAAGTCTGTTTGAAGAAACTTTTTAGCTTTTTTTTTGTTAAAATAAAAAAAATAATTACATGCATGTATAAATTATTTATAATAGCCCTCGAAATATGATTTCAAATTTCTTCCTAAGGAAAAGAAGGCCATTAAAATTAAATGGGTATACAAGACAAAGTACAAGCCGAATAGAGATATGAATCGCTTCAAAGCAAGGATAGTAGCCAAGGGTTACAAATAAAAGTCAAGTATTGATTATCTTGCGGTTTTTTCTCATTTTGCTAGGCTTGGTACTGTTCGTATGATTATTTCTCTTGTTGCCAATAATTTTTAGAAAATATTTCAAGTAGACGTGAAATCAGTTTTTTGAATAATGTCATTGGGGAGGAAGTTTATGTTGAACAACCTGCTAGTTATGTAAATAAAAGGGAGGTAAACAAAGTCTACATGTTGAAAAGGGCTTTATATGGGTGTAAACAAGCTCTTAGAGCTCAGTACACCTTGTGGAGAATAATTTTTAGAGATGTCCCTATGAACACTCTTTATATGTCAAAATTAATTCCAAGGGAGATACTATTATTGTGCGTTGATGTATGAATGATTATGATCTTATTTTCACAGAATATAACCAGAAGTTAATTTAGAACTTCAAGTTGTTGCTCTTTCTACCACTGAAGCAGAGTACAATGCAGCCAACAATTGTGCTACTCAGGCACTGTGGTTACGTCATATGTTGGGATTTTTCTAGCATGAACAAAAAATTCTTTCAAAGATTTTCTATAGTAATAAGTCAACTATCACATTTCCAAAAAATTCAGTTTTTCATGAGAAGACCAAATATATTAATGTCAAGGGTGATTATATTTGTGACTTGGTTATTGATGCCGAGATTGAGATTTTATATTATCAATCTAAGGATCATATTACAGATATTTTTACCAAGCCACTCAAATCAGATATGTTCGTGAAGTTGAAGCAAATTATGAGAATAATCAAGATTGAAGAATTTGAATCAAAGGAGGCTGTTGGAGTTTGACCTAATTATTTATTTATTGCAATTATTTTGCTATTATAATTTATTATTATTAGTTGTTAATTAATCCTTGGCTAAATAGGAAATTGATTAATTAGATTGAGTTGTCTTGTCGGAAAAGACTACTTGGGTTTCTTAAATCTGGCAATAGGGCTAAGATATATAAACTAGAATAGGTTTGCTTTGTAAGGTAAAGACTTGATTGAATAGAATTTGCTTTTTGGCTTTGCTGTAAGTTTTTGGTCGTCTCCTTCCTTCGTCTTCACTTGTTCTCTTTATTTTCTGTTTGGTCTTTGATTAATTATTGTGCATTAAATTATTTTGAGTGCTTAATATTTTGAGATCCTACATTAACTGTCCAATAAATCGAAGGTAAGCCACTTTCTATTTTTATACGATTCTAGAGTGAAAATAAGTTTAATACGATTTGAATCGTTGACTCTATCTACAATGTTGTACACATGTTTGACATGTATATCAATACAATTTTCAACGTTTAAGTTCGACCTTAAATTTAAACTATTTATTTTCAGTGGCTATTTTCTCTTTTAATGCGAAAAAACAGTAATCTCCACACAACTCTTTGAATCTATGGCTGGCATGTGTTGCAATACAACTTTGCAGTTTTGATTTCAACCTCAAAATTTAAAATATTTTCTT